CAGACCATTCTGTGTATGACATCAAAGTACAGTGAGAGTGATTAGACAGCATTTTTAACATTTTTGTTTTGATGTCAAATAAGTCTTGCTGTTTTGCTTTTTTGTTAAAGCAGTGTTGCTGTTGTAAAGTTGTACAGCTACAGTTGTGTTGCTGGGTTTTTTAAGCAGGTTTGATTTTTTTTTCTTCCTTATCAGTCTGTATTTACAGCAGTTTCACTGTCCACTCTGTTCAAATGTGGATGAATGGCTACACATAGATGTGTGCACACTGTCAGAGCTGTGTGAGATCACTACCATCCTGCTTTTGTGGGGGTGGGTAGGGGTGTTAAATATTTATTTATTTATTTTTTATTTTTTATTTTTCCCTCATAGGTTTTTAACATTCTAAAAGCTCTTTATTCCAAAGATACTACAAGTTAGTCAGTGTATTCAGCAGGTGTAATGTATTCTAAGTTGCTTCAGAAGTATTGCAAGTATTATGTACGACAATAAAACAGTGCATTGACATAAAAAAGGAAATTTACTTTTGGTACTTAAGTACTTTTAAAAGCAAGTACTTCTGTACTTTTACTTAAGTAAAAATCTGTCTTTACAACTTTTACTTGTAATGGAGTAATATTTGACCAGCAGTATCTGTACTTTCACTCAAGTAATGGAGTTGAGTACTTTGTCCGCCTCTGCATATGGTTAGTGATAGATTGATATATCATCCAGGCCGATTAATCGGACGATATTTGGTTATTTTGAGAATTTATTTATGCACAATTGGAAATGTCTAATGTCAGTCCCAAAATCTACCTGCATCCTTGCTGGATAGTGCACAGTTACTGTTTCAAATGTTTTGCTAATGTTCCAGTTAAGTTATAAAAACTTTTTCCCAATGTTCTCTAAACTTCAAAACATCCCGTTTTAAAAATGATTTCAAAACGTTTATTCTTGGTTATGCAAACGCTACGTGAACATTCCATTTGATCATTTTGCAAACATTGTGGGAATGTTACT